CCTCCGTCACGCCCCCTTCTTTCCTTGCCTTAAGCTTATCGCCTGGCCCGACGATGGCGATGGACAGCTGCAGGTAACCCTGGGTGCCTGAATCTTTGGGGTTCTCGTCGTCCACCAGTGCCACCCACTGACGATGGATCTCGTGATCCTGCAAAAAGAAAAAAAAGGCATGGTGGATGCAGATGCAAGAACTGTAGCGAAGGAGACCGGAGAAAAACGGCCCGAGCACAAAAAACATGTGCATTTTTTTTTTAGGTTATTTCCCCAATGAGACTTGGAGACGAACGTACTTTCACTTGCCTGCAGGGGTCACTGATGAGTCAAGTATGCACGGCACACACGATACGACACAAGACACCACCGGCCGACCAAGCAAACAACGCGGAGGCAGAATGTCCAAAGCGAAACGAATGACGCGAAAAACAAAGCTACACGTACGTCACGAAACAAAAAAACACGCCCAGGACAGAATCAATAGAAACGATTCTGTGTGTCCACATGTGAACATGCGGCTGCCTCTGTACGCATGTTGATTTGTTGCGGCAACCCCTTCATGCCGTTTTCACTCATCAAAACGTCGAAACGTGGGATTCCTGCGCAATAAAACTTGGAATCGACCCCCTCCGTTCCCTCCCAAGCCGTTTCTATGTCTTGTTTTTTTCTAGGGAGTTCCGCACCTTGTGGAAGTACACATTCGAGGCATCGAAGCTGTACGAGCCAATCAGATCGTTCTTGACCGCCACGGGACCATCGGCGTCCATAACGCTTATTCTTTTTTTTTTATTGCGCACCACACCGAACGGAACCGAATTAGGAAGCAACCAAACACACGCGAGAGGGAGGGAAGGAGGGAGGGAGGGTGGCGGAGAGAAAAGAGGGTCAGAGTAAAAGATTCGGGGGAAAGAAGTACAGCAGTCGAGAGCCGTCCGTCCGTCGTACATACTCCGACGGGGGTCGAGTGGGAGAGCGGACGGCAAAATCGGGTGCGGTTCACGGAACAACAAGTGGGTACCGTAAGGTTGCGAGTCAGCTAGAGCACAGAGCACAGGGGTGCGATCGATTTTCAAAGCGTAATTTCTCCACAGCCAGGAGGTTAACACTGTCGACAAGGGCGGTTTGGAAATATCTCATCGAGAGCTTTCCTGAGAAGTATCTGTTGGCGCTCGCACCCCCCTGCTTGTGGAGATATTACGCTTTGAAAATCGTTCGCACCCCTGTGCTCTGTGCTCTAGCTGACTCGCAACCTTACGGAAAGTTGGTGTTTTGCCCAGAGGAATGTCATGATCCAAACGTAGATCAAGGGTTTCTCTATAAACCATGTCGAAAACCCTTTACGACTGCCTCCTGTTTGGTGTCTGTGTCTGGTGTCTGGTGTCTGGTGGGTCTCAACAGTACGGCCGATCGCGTACTCAGAGGCCTAAAGAACAAAGAAAATGGTGAACAAGCAGACTTTNCCCCCGCCCCCTGTGTTTGCCATCGGGGTTGGGTTTTCGTCGCTTGGCAGCGATGCTGTAAAACAAGCCATGAGCTCCGCAACCAAGTTACCGCTATTTTTTTTTTCGGTAACCATGAATGGTGGTCGAGTAGTATGTGTTGGGCAGGGTCGAGAACCTTCACTCCGCGCAAGGGGGATTAATCGCACCACGTTGTGTTATAATGGTCAAGCACCCTCGGGGCAGTTACACAGTGCTTACAACTGTCTCTGGAAGTGAAAGCACCAGAAAATTAATTAAGTCATACGCAGCTGTCACCCGTACGCAAGGAAGTAGGCACAAGATGCCGAACACCCTTGGCAGGATGCAGCGCGCCCTTCATGCGACTCGCCGAGTACCTCACAACGCTTCGCACTTGGTGATGTGAGAGCCTGGTCCGGTGAGAACCCGGCGTGCTCCGTCCTGGCTTTGTAGGGATGCGAGGTCAATGGTGTTAACGACTACGACAGGCACGACCATGAGTACACCCCCCCC